ATGTATGTGCACCCATGTTCATAGCAGCACAATTTGTAATAGCTAAAACTTGGAAACAGCCTAAATGCCCATCAGCTGGAGACTGGATAAAGAAAATGTCATTTTTTAATAAAATGGAGTACTATTCAGCCATAAAAAATGAAAAATTAGAGATGTTTATAGCTAAATGGATGCACATTGAGGTGATATTCTCCAGTGAAATAAATAGAACACACATGTGTAAATACCGAATAGTCTCTCTAGTGTGAGCAACTGAAAGTGTGAATGAAGACCAAATGGTATAATAGATAATGTGAAATAGGAAGAAAAAGGGGCAAAGGGGAAGGGGAAGCAGGATGGTTAGAGGAAAGGAAAGAAGGGAATGGGATTAATATGAGAAAATGAAAAAATGGAAACAACTCTTTTGTAAATAGGGAGGGATGGAAGGGTTGAAGGGAGGGCTTGGGAATGGGGAAAAAAATAAGAACCAAGAGAGGTTGAGTAAAGTTGCAAATTTCCAATGATGAATGTCATTATACTGTATACCTAAAATGTACCAATAAAATAAAATTTTTTAAACAAAAGATACTAGCAGAACATACAGATTTATAGGCCATATATATGGGCTTTAGTATTCATAGTGCAGCACAACATGAATGTCACCATATTTATAAACATTCTCCTTGCAACTCAGATGGATGCCTGCACACAGAGTTAGCTCTATTAAAGATGAGGTGCCCTGAGCGTAGGTATCCTGAATTTGAGATGGACAGTAAGCATACTTGCTCTTTCCTGTGGAAGGAAGATACTTTCTCTAATTTCCAGTTGTTGGCTGTACACATGTCCTTGAGAAGATGCAGTATTTGGGAACAAAGGCAATTAGTGTTGTGCTTGCAAGACATACAGGAGGCATGAGACCCAATAAGAATTGTCTCCCAATACCCTCTTCTTGGATTTCTAAAAAATGAAACTTGAATGAATTGACACATTTTATCAGTGATTTAACCTTTTATCAGTATATACCATGCCACTTGGAGCAACAAATGACTGTCTATGTCTGAATGCCTTAAACCACCAAAGATTTATTTCTTGCTAAGGACATGTACTCATGGGGAATCAGCCGGGGACTCTCTTTCAGGATTGTCCTCACTCTAGGGCCTAGGTAAAGGAGGCTCTGTCATATGGCACCCTGCCATGGAAAAGGGAAAATAAGTGTGCAAGATACCATGCTGGCTCTTCAGACTTCACTGCAGAAGTAATTGGCATTACTCCTGCTCATATTTCATTGTCCAAAGCAATCCATGTGGCTAAACCCAGCTTTGGGGGCGTGGAAAATGTGTCCAGAAGAAGAACTTGAAGCATTTGTTTGGTGGACAGCCCAAATTACTGCTACATAGATGCAAAGTCGCTACCCAGTGGTAGCACCTTAAAAATCATTCCCTCTTTGTTCCCACTCCTTCAGTCATGACTCTGGGCAGCATCAAAAGTGTGGATCTTAGGTTTAGAGAAAATCTATAGTGGTCATGGATTTAGATTGTTCTCTGTCAGTGCCTGTGCTCAAGCAAATCTGCAGAATTTCCAGCACACTATGGCCCAAGTTTGTAAATCAAGTTAATCAATACTAATTATTACTATGCATTCAAGATCATAAATTTGTTGGTCAACATTAAAAAAAGAAGGAACATAGAATTTCTCTCAATTCCCAATTATTTCACAGAGATAATAACTAGATTGAGGAAGAAAAAGAAAAATGTTGATTTATTTTCATTCATGATACAATGCAATCACAGATTCCACAGCTGAAATACTTTCTGCCTTTAACTGGTCACTGCATCTGACTAGAAATCATTGAATGCCAATAGAATGGAGTAAATATTACTGATCATCACAGCCTTCACACTTCGAAGTTTAATACCACCAGACAGGTCATTAATTCCTTTCTGCAGTCACTGGGACACTTTATCTGTCAGGTATTATACTAAAGATGTGAGTACAGAGTTCAGAGCAAAACTGACACAGTTTCTAACTCCAAAGAATTTAGTCTACAGGGGAATATGATAATAGTAAATATAAAACTAACATTTATGTCTTGCTTACTATAGACTGTGTGATATGTTCACATTTCCTAAAAGAGTCCACAGCCTTGTGTGGCTTATTACCCATGATGCTCCTGTGGAGACAGTGGGAACTATGGCTTTGACCATGTGTTGTCAATGCTAAGAAAAATTATTCAGCATATTCTTGGAGACCAGAGAAACTTGGTCAGAATTCGGGTTTCCATATTCCAAATTACAGATGCATCAACACATAAACATTTTTGCTAGCTTGTATCACGAGATCCAGCCTTCTTCATAGGCCTTACATCACTCATCTCCAGACTGGGCCTTCTTTTAGTTAATATTCCCCATCAATGAATGAATTATTCAACAAATTGATTACACACTGATTTGGTGGCAGACACTGTGCAAAGTTCCTACTTGTACCACAGAGTATACATATATTACACAATTTGTGCAGTTATCTTGGAATGTAAGGATGGCGGTCATTACTTTACAGATAAAGAAACTGAGAATCAGAGAGGGTCAGAGACTCACCTGGCATTTTCAGGGCTCAAAAGCCTGGGCTCAGTCAAGCTATGTCTGAGTCAGAACCCTCCCCAGGAGCATAAAGTTGCCCTGTGAACCACTAAGGTCTGGCCAGTGGATACTCTCAGCCCTATAACCACGGCTCCTGCCAGATATCCCTAAATCCCCCTGCAATAACACTGGGTTATGAAACTCAGGCAGCCAGTAGAAACACAGTCATTTTGGAAACACCTGCCTCTTCTCATTGAAACAGGGCAACTTGCTGCTTTTCCTCACCTATTTTAATGAATTCAGCAAACACTGACTAAATAGCCTCAATGTAGCAGGCCCTGGAGGCTACGGGAGTGAGTCCAACAGAGTGCTGCTCTCCAGGGCCTGAAAATGAAGAGTGAGAAAGAACCTTAGAACCACAGCAAACATAATGCAAGCAAACTTAACTCAGGGTTATCACAAATAAAACGCAACAGGAGAACAGGGAGATGGAGAGGAAGAGGATCTTATCCTGGGAAGACCCCGGGGGGAGTGTGATTTGTCAGTGCCTCGAAGGATAGGCAAGAACACTTAAGTGCTAGAGATTGTGCAGGGAGGGGAGTGGAAAGAGTGAGAAGTAGCCAGTTCATGCAGGCAGAAGAAGCTGCCATTTCTTCCAGAGACTTATAACTTGGAAGCAAAATTGTTTACTCAAAATTTACGAAGTCTGTGTTGGTTTCACAGAGCCCTTTGGGGAGGAGCGGCTGGCGGGAGCCAGGTGCAGTCAGAGAACGGCCTGCCTCAAAGGTTAGCCAGAAAGAAACGATGCTGTGGACACTTAAAAAGCCTTATCTGAAAGGAAGCCATCTGGTGCTCAGGACCAAGCAAACTTCTTTTTATTATTTTCCAGGCTTCTGGGCTTGGGTGTCTGACATTCCTTCCCCATGGACTTTATAAGGGTGGGGGCTAGTGGTGGCTCCCTGGGCTGCTGAAGAGCTGCAGCCCATGCCTGGAGCTGCCTGACCTAAGCCTCCACACCTCTGCAGACTGAGGTCCCTGTGGGGAGCTGAGGAGTTGACAGCTGTGTCTTTAGGGCCCCCTGAGGTCTCTGCTGCTGCCACATGAGTGTCCCCTTGTAGGAGAAGTATGGTAGGCTTTTAATCCAGTCCAGTCAGATCTGGGAAAACCCATCCAAATGTTAATCCACCTGCAGAGACAACGAATCCATATCTTCTGCTGCCTGTATCTTTTGTTTTTCATCTCTAGATCTTTAAATCTAATTATGAAGCCAGAACGAACCCCCTGCAAGCTTGTCTCCTACCTTTCAGGCAGCCTTTTAAGGATTTCTTTGTGCCTGGTCTCCTTATGCTCCTCACCAACAGAGCTCTTTTCATCTGAATATGGTGTAGCTCTTTAAATAGCTAAACAAAGCCTCACTACACCCCCATGAGGAAAGAAGTGATCATAACTTGCTTTACCACGCCAGGGAGGAGGCGAAGGAATGAATGGTCGGTGACTTGCTTAAAAATTCCTAACTACTGAAACTACCTTCACACAACAGGAGCACCAGCCACAATGTTCTGCCTTTGTCTCCTTACACAGGAGTGGACTCAAGTGTTAGCACAAAAAACATGAAATAAAAAACTTCTTATATTCCTTCCTGAACTGGCTTCTCCTCTCACATGCTATATTTGGGAAACTGGTATCAAGAAACCACTCTAGCCTGGAATTTTTAACTTCCAAGAAGGTAGGGGCTTGCCTGAACTCTCAGTGGTCACATCCCTTCTGCCTCTTCTCTGTCTCTCACTCTCTGATATTTCAGGGAGCCCTGCTTGCCTGAATTCCTCCCACAGCCTACTCTCTGCAGTCCTTGTTTCTACTGTGTTTCTGCCTAATCTATTCCCAGGCAGCTGTCAGAATAATTGTTTTAAGGACAAATTTAGTTAAGGTCTGCCTCTGCTTAAAGCCCTTCTCCTATTGCATAAGACATGCTGGGCTCCACTTAGTCTAACCTCATTTTCCGCTTGTGTCCCTGCCCCTTCATACTCCATAACCAGCTGTGGTGAGCCACTTCCTGTTCCCTGTATGATGCTCCAGACCTGTGCATGTGCTTCACATCCTAGCCTGACCCTTCTGTCAGGGGAAATCTTACTTGTTATCAAAACCCAACTTAAGAGTGGTCTTCAATCAGATGATGCTGACCTCTTGTTCCTTGTTGACATGTATCTTCATTGATTTTTTTGTTAGAACACACAGTAAGACAATCATACTTATTACTCACTTACACACTCTTCCCCACCATGAATAGACTGTGCATTTCTCCTAACTAAACTAATGCTGTGTCTTATTCATTTTAGCCTTGGCAGTACCCAAGACAGTACTTGCAAATAGTAGTCATTCAATAGGGTTTGCTACTGAATAGAACCATCACATCTGCTTATGGGAAAGCCAACACTAATAGATAGGGAAAATGTAGCTAAGGATTTTTTTCTGATTCTTGCTGTTAATTAAAATACAAATGCAACCACTAAAACTCAAATCCTTGGTTTGCTGGGTCATTACACTCCTTTAGCTCCTCAAACCAAGGAATCTAAAAATCCTGCTTTAAGAGAGAATTTATATTCACCTACATGTTACAGACAATATTAATTTATATAGTCAACCAATATTTTTTGATGTTTAGTGTAAGCCAGGCAGTGTGCTAGATATTGGGGTTATAGAAGTGAACAAAACAGAAAATATCTTTTTCCAAAACAAACATCTACTTGGGTAAACAGACACTAAACAAATAAAAAGTACACAAGATTTGAGGAGAGTAGTCAGAAGCTAGATCATCAGACTTACTAGATTTTACTCTAAAGAGCAACAAGAACCCATGGTGGCTTCTAAGGAGGGAGTTTGATGGTTGAATGGACAAGAGTTTGGAATAGAGTAGAGGAAACGACAGGAGTTAGGAGTTACTGCAGTGTTTCTGGAAAGATATATTGGTGGGTTGAACCAGCAGAAGTGGAACAGAGTGGACTTACTTGAAATTTGTATTAGAGATGACTTGCTAGTCCTTGCTGATGGATTGACAGTGGTTAGAGTCCTTCACTAAGGAATGGGCTTAAGCCATTGTTCTCATTTGCCTGCCTCTTGGTATCAAATTGATGAGTGAGGGACATTCTTGAGTCATTGAGAAATTTCAGCATTTGGTCATCACTAGCTATTTTTGCAAACTGCCCCACAACATTTTTTATTATTGAACTTGTAATATGAAATTTATTATGTAAATAATATAATTGAAGCTTCCTTTAGAGAGCAGACTTGTACCTTCTCAGACCAAGGACAAGGGTGATAGGCCTCTAGTCCTTGGCCAGTCAGACCTTGTCACAGGGCTAGCACAGTATAGAAGGAGCTTAGGACTAGAACCTGTGTAGTCTTGGTTTCAAGTTCTTACTCAATACTGACTAGACATGTGACTTTGGGAAAAGATGATTAGCTGCTCTGAACTTCAATCATCTTATCTATAAAATTAAAGTCAAGAATACGTATCTCGCAGAGTTGGTATGTCATAAATTAATGACAAAATAAAGCACTTACTAGGCATTTTTCTCTCCAAGAGTAAAGGGGAAACAGAAAGCTCTAGAAGGAGAGGAGGCCTGGTACTATCTCGGGCCTTGAAGTAACTGTACCCCAAGAATCAGAATCTTCACATTCCTAGATGGGGCTGACCTAGTTTTAGGGAAATTTTTTTCCCTGTTGATTGTGGAACTCTGTGGAGGTATAGTATGGAACACAATGTATGGAGCACCAGCTGGTAGCTTGCACTTTTTTGTCCCCAGTGAGGATCACAGCAGAATAGAATTATGGCTGCATGAAGAAGATGTCCATTTTCAGCCAATGCTGCGGTGTCCCTGGTGTTGATTCTGGACCCAGAGGTGAGGTGGACACTCCTTTTAAGGATCCTTCTCTTACTGACATGCACATGAATGTGTAGTTTAAAGTTGATGAGTAGAGAGGGGCACCTCTGTAGGCAGATGTTGGCTCCTAGACTATAGATTGTCCCAGGCAGGTCATTCGTTTGGAGACAAGGTGGTCTTCAGTTAGGAAACTAAACCTCAGAGGCTGGCCTTGGGCAGACAAGCAAAGGAATTCCTTGTCTTTCTCTGAGCTTTGCCCTTTTTGATTACGACTTTGAGAACTCTAAAGTAGGAACCACAAATTGGTTTAAATGATTGATAGTTGATACTGAGTACTGAGGGTTAGGATTAAGATTCACTCAGTCAGGAAGAGTGGCCTGGTTGACTAATGATGTTAAATGTGACCTCCGCCACATAGAGGCAGATAGTACTGGGCCAAGGAGGTTTCTCCACAAGAGGCCACTTGCTATAGATGGATAAACTACCCTGTATAAACCTAATGATCTAGTTGCTTGTTTTTTCCTATCTAGTTTATCTTTTTTGATTCCCTAGCCATTAGTGTAATCTTAATGTTGTGGTGAAGTCTCTGAAAACAATGGTTCCCACAGTGGATATCACCCAAAGGACCCAGGAGAATGTGAACCCACCCAGCCTCTTCTCACATATGGATTTCCCCTGCATTGCTAGCTACAGGTGAGCTTAATGCTGCTTCTCTGTAGATAGTATTTCTTCTTTCAGCTTCACCTGTTTCAGAAATTTGCTTTCAACTTTTGCCAAAATTGTTAATCAACCATATCAATTTTAAGTTACACTAGGAAGAGAAATACATACAGGATGAAAACCAGGACACTCTTGAATTGAATACTGTATTTACCAAAGGGTTTTGTGTATTCTATCTCATTACAGTCCTATGAAATAAGTTCTATGGTCACCATCTAATAGATGATAAAACTGAGGTTCAGAGAGGTGGATGAACAGACCCCAAGTCTCCAACTCAGCAAAGAGTGGAGCCACTTCCCCTAACATTGGCTTCTAGTCCCCAGGCCACAGTGCACAGTGCCTTTGTCTGCCACCTGCCCCTGGTGGAGTACTGGACTGGCAGGTGGTCGTGATAGAGCTTGCTGAGAGAGGTGGGTTCTGAGGGCCAAACCTGAGCAGGTGGCACTGCCTGGGGAGGCAGAAGAGGGCTGGGATGTTCTATGCTTTTTCTTTTGTTCTTTTAGTGTAACACAAGTAGATACTAATAAAATATAAAACAAAACTCTTCTTATTTCTATGAAAAAATAATTTGGTTTTCATTTGTACTACTAGTTTCTTTTGTTCACTCAAAATAAAGTTTTGTCTTTTTTTGTTTTTTCTTTGTAAGAGAGTCTTTTTTGTTTATGTTTTGTATTCTGAATAACATTTTGGCCATTCTTTTAAGATCATGGTACACAGTGTATTAATCATTGTTATTCTGTAGTCATTTTGTTCTGTGATTCTTCAGTCATGGAAAGGAAGATTCCCTGCTGGAGAGGATGCCATGAACCAAACTGTCTGCAGTATCCGTGAACAGCTGAGCCCATGGGAGACTAAGAGGCCAAATGACAATGGGTTCTGGGCCTCCTCTCTGGTCCTCTGTGCTAGAAATGGTTTTAACCACAAGATTTGTTCCATGGATTGTTTTTTTTATTAATAAAAGTTTCAAAGCACTGCATGGAATGTTAGCTATGTGAATTTCATTGATTAGGAATGGAACTGTGTTGCTAAACCACCAAACAAGGTCACCTTGAGCTCTCTCTTTCCTACGTTTCTGTTTCCCTCTCTGCCTCCCCCTCTCCTGTGTGGGGGTGGGGGTGGGAGTGCAGGGGTGGTAGAGTGATAAGGGAGTACAGATTTAACTTGCTATGACTGTAAATTGTTTCAGAGACCTTTGGAATACAATTATACTATCTATACTTTGGGTCTAGTGTTATTATGCAGTTGATAAAATAGTGCTAATTACAATAAACAAAGGACTTCATTTCTCTTTAAAAAAAAGTGTCTGCTTGAATCAACCCCAAACTCCTACTTGAATTAAAAAAAAATTCCTAAAACAGGCACCCCCAAGACAATTGTTATCACCACTACATCTGTATAGCTTGAAAACAAGAAAGCCTCTCTTTATACCTTCTGTCTGAATGTAGTGGCAGAGAGATTAGAGGGTTTTTGTGTGCAAAGTTTGAACTGAAGCCTGGATTTTGTGTGGCTAAATAGCAATGCTTACTCCAGCACTGTTCCCTTCTGTTTTCAGTGTATAGACAAAAGCCTGGGGATTTTTCCATGAGTTAGCAAGAAAGGAGGTGAGATTTGCAGGCTCCTGTTTCAGACAAGGAAGTGTGGGGCATGAAGAGGAGCAGGAAAGCACAGACAATTCTGCCAGTTTGTGTGTGGGTTTGGGGCTGAGTCCTTTGGACACCAAGAAGTGGTAGCAATGTTAAAAGCTGGACTATGGCATTGGTGGAATTTTAGCTTTACC